ATTTGGGGAATTCCATGGGCTGACAGTGCTGGGATTTGGGGAATTCCATGGGCTGGGCAGTGCTAGGATTTTGGGAATTCCATGGGCTGGGCAGTGCAGGGATTTTGGGAATTCCATGGGCTGGGCAGTGCTGGATTTGGGAAATTCCCTGGGCTGGGCAGTGCCATTCCTGCTGTTCCTCCTCTTCCAGGGGGACTCCTGGTGGGATTCCCTGAGGATCCCCTTCCCAGCCGGATCCTGCCGGGCCCCGAGCTGGAATATTACATCCAGAGATTCCAGAAATCCAGCTTCAGGTAGGGGGGGGGGGACCCCAGGCCGGGCTCTGCCACCCCCCCAAAATCATGGAAGGGGGGGTGGGATTTCCCTTCCCGGCTCTTCCCGGTGGGATGATCCCGACCTGGGGGGGCTGGAACCGTTCCCAACCCGTTCCCAGCCCATTCCCAGCCTGTTCCCACTTTTCCCAGGGGGCCCCTGAACTGGTACCGGAACATCCGAACCAACTGGAACTGGGCCCTCTCCGCCAGGGACAGGAAGGTGGGAATGGGATCCCCCCCCATCCCTCTGGATCATCCCTGTCCCTCTGGATCCCCTCTGGATCTCCCCTGTGTCCCTTGTCCCCTTGGGATCCCCCCTGTCCCTCTTGATCCCCTCTGGATCCCCCCTGTCCCCTCTAGATCTCTCCTGACCCTCTGGATCCCCTCTGGATCCCCCCTGTCCCCTCTGGATCCCCCCTGTCCCCTCTGGATCCCCCCTGTGTCCCTCTGGATCCCCCCTGTGTCCCTCTGGATCCCCTCTGTGTCCCTCTGGATCCCCTCTTTCCCTCTGGATCCCCCCTGTCCCTCTGGATCCCCCCTGTCCCTCTGGATCCCCCTGGATCCCTGGATCCCCTCCATGTCCCCTGGATCCCTGTGGATCCCTGGATCCCCCCTGTCCCTTCCATGTCCCCTCTGGATCCCTGGATCCCCCCATCCCTTCCATGTCCCCTCTGGATCCCTGGATCCCCCCTGTCCCTTCCATGTCCCCTGGATCCCTGTGGATCCCTGGATCCCCCCATCCCTTCCATGTCCCTCTGGATCCCCCTGGATCCCCCCTGTCCCTTCCATACCCCCCCGATCCCCCTGAATCCCCCTTGTCCCCTCTGGATCCCCCCTGGATCCCTCTGGATCCCTGGATCCCCTCTATCCTCTCTGGATCCCCCCTGTCCCTTCCATGTCCCTCTGGATCCCTGTTGATCCCTGAATCCCCCCTATCCCCTCCATGTCCCCTGGATCCCCCTGGATCCCTGGATCCCCTCATGTCCCCTGGATCCCTCTGGATCCCCCCTGTGCCTTCCATTCCACCTGGATCCCTGTGAATCCCTGGATCTCCCCTATCCCCTCCATGTCCCCTGGATCCCTCTGGATCCCTGGATCCCCACCGTCCCTTCCATGTCCCCTCTGGATCCCTGGATCCCCCTGGATTCCCCCCTGTCCCCTCCATGTCCCCTGGATCCCTCTGGATCCCTGGATCCCCCTGTGCCTTCCATGTCCCCTCTGAATCCCTGGATCCCCTCTGTCCCCTCCATGTCCCTCTGGATCCCTGGATCCCCCTTGTCCCTTCCATACCCCCTGGATCCCTGTGGATCCCTGTGGATCCCTGTGGATCCCTGGATCCCCCTCTGGATGCTCTCCCAGATCCCGCTTCCGGCTCTGATGGTGACGGCCGGGAAGGACCCGGTGCTGCTTCCCAGCCTCAGCAAGGGCATGGAAAACTGGGTAAGCCCGGGAATTCCCAACCCTCATCCCACCAGAGATCCCAAGGAAAACCCGGGAATGCCGGGATCCGACCCTCCCCCCATCCCTTTCCCACCCTCCCTCTTCCCAAGATCCCGCGGCTGCGCCGGGAGCACCTGGAGGAATGCGGGCACTGGACGCAGATGGAAAGGTGGGAGCCGGGATAATCCCCCCCTCCCCTTCCCAACATTCCCGGGAATTCCGGCTCCCGGCCCATTCCCGGCTTTCCCCGCAGGCCGGCGGAGGTGAACAGGATCCTGCTGGAGTGGCTGGAAGGGCTCCCGCCGGACGTCCCTTTTCCCGGGAATTCCCGGCTGTGAACGGGAATCTTTCCCAGCTTTCCCTTCCCTTCATCCTGTTTTCCCGGGAATTCCCAGCTGTGAACAGGAGCCTTTCCCGGCTTTCCTTTCCCTTCCCTTTTCCCGGGAATTCCCGGCTGTGAACAGGAGCCTTTCCCGGCTTTCCCTCCCCTCCATCCCCTTTTCCCGGGAATTCCCATCTGTGAACGGGAATCATTCCCAACTTTCCCTTCCCTTCCCTTTTCCCGGGAATTCCCGACCGTGAACAGGAGCCTTTCCCAACTTTC